ACTTAGCACCGTCGGATTACCATCTCTTCCGATCGATGCAACACGCACTTATGGACACACACTTCTCCAGTCACAACGAAGTCCAAAAATGGGTGGATGAATGGATCGCCTCGAAAGACACCGCGTTCTATACCGTCGTGGGATTGCCCTGTTGCCAGAGAGATAGGAAAAAGTAGTAAAAAATGGAGGAAATTACTTTGATTAAGTATTCATTCATCTTCTCTTCGAAACAAATCAATTTTGGAGACGAAAAAACGGCAGGAATTAAGTTTAACACCTAATATTTACGAAAACTTAAGAATTTCTAAGATATTGTCTCAATCTATGTAGTTTTTCTGTACTTTTTCGTAAAAATTTTTTCCACCAGGGACATTATAAGTTACATTATATATGAAAACTAATTAATTTCATCTAATTCTCAATATAATTAGTGTGAAATAATTTACTTCGTTATTTAATGTACACCACAAATTGAAGAACAATTGAAGATTGAAAAACGTTGATCTAAGTTAATCAAGGAATCTTAAGACAGCGTGGAATTTTTTGCCTCGAACTATCGTACTTTCTAAACAAAATTTATTACGAACGCAAACAAAACAAAGATTGATAAATGTTTCAGGGCAAAGGCCCTACAAATGTGTGGAGTGTCCAAGAGCGTTCAAGCACAAGCATCATCTGACTGAACACAAGCGGCTGCACAGTGGCGAAAAGCCCTTCCAGTGCTCCAAGTGCCTCAAGCGCTTCTCTCACTCCGGCTCCTATAGCCAACACATGAATCATCGTTATTCTTATTGCAAACCCTACAGAGAATAGAAGTACTCAGTCTTCTTATCTGAGGCTCGTTCGCTTACCTATTAGATTATACTTTTTTCCCATAGACTTATATAGATAGACCGTGTTCTCCCGTTGGAGGCAAGAAGTCAGAATTAGTAGAGAGGACAAGAGACAGTTAGATACTTTCCTTGTCCGACTGGTGCAGTTGAAGAAGAGAAGGAAAAAGAAGAAGCGGTTATTTCTTTGTTCTTAGAAAGAGATGCGCATTATCCTCTCTTTCTTCAACTTGCATTCTTATAGATTATCATTTACCTTATACTCTTTTAATCTTTAATTTTCCGATTAATTTTTTATAAAATCGATATATATATATATATGGTATACATGGAATAAAGATGAATTCCAGGATTGACCGTGGAATTTATCAACAAATTGTTACATGGAACTACGCATTATCTTATTTTTATGTTTTCTTACATTAACTTTTTCCAGAGCATTGTGTGACAGACAACTATGTACATTTCTGTCCTTCAATGTTGCCATCAGCTATTGTATAAGAATGCACAGTCACTCAGATAACCAAATCTATTCAAAAGATTTTTGCAAAGTGTCAGTACAAATTTTATTAGTAGAATGCTAACAAAAACCAAGCAAAATCTTTGATTATTTGTCTCTTCATATACTCTGTTTTTCTTAATTACTTATCCCTGCCTCTCCCTCTTTTGTTTCCTAAAATTTAATTCCTATATTGTTCCTATATATGCTTCCATAATTTGTTCGCTCCCTTCTCTCCGCAAACCTTATGTATATTATCTTTTACTTCCCTACTGTATCCAATTTGATCTTCCCAATACTACTTTATACTGTTCTGACTGCCATCACTGAGTGGTGAACAAAATCTTAGAGTGTCTTAGACTATATGTATAGAGTTTTTTATACATTTATGCATAAGATATACTTTTTCAAATGAGATGAAATGAGTATATCACAATATATTTAAATAAGCTTTAATAGCTCATGCTAAGACTAAATGAATGTATTTTTTTTTGCTTTTGATATTCTTTATTTTATATTCTAAACGATTCAAAATTTTCTATTCAAGTTTATAAGACATAATAAACATCATGTTTTACAAGAATGCTATATTGTTACTAGTACAATGTATTACTAACTTAAGGTGCGTTCCGTATCGCGCATGATGTGCATGATGCATCCATTGTCCTTATTTAACATTTGGTGAGCAACAAAGATAAACGATGCATTATGCGCATCATGCGAGTAACGGAACGCACCCTTACATTGTCAGTAATACATTGTCGCTATATTTTTGTTACACTGATCTTTTTTAATGATTATTCAGATGTGTACCGTTGCGTATACTTTATTGTAATTCAAACTCAAGCTATCAATTGAGCTTATTTAAAACTTAATTGATCTAGCAATTAAGGTGGTTCTATAGTAAATCGAGTTACCATAGAAATGTCTTATTTTTTAATGTAATGAAGTTGAAACACTGAACTTGACGTGTGCAAAATTTTAGGGTAGGTTATCGATGAAATAAGAGAGAAAAAAAATGTTGAAAATGCAACTTTAAACCTAATGACAAATAAGGGCGGAGGCGCTTTTTTACTAACTGCACACAAACATTACCATAGATTTCTTTAAAAAACGAGATTATAATAATTTAAAAAATTACGATTGTAATGATCACAAAAAAGTAATAGGTCATCGGTCATTCTAAAAAGATATTTAATGTTAAAATGGCAAAATATCGAATTTTCACAAGAACAAATTGTACAAGAAATCAATTTCTTTTTATTTCATTACTTTTGTATTCTAAATATTGTTTATTTTATACACTATTTTAATAAAATATACAATTAATTTTAATATTTTATTCAAATTATGCAGACATTTATAATTTTAGGTGGACCCTGGTAAGGGTCCCCAAATTTTCGGCACTTTACTGTAAAACCACCTTAATGAGATCCAATAATTTTGAGTATTCGCAACTGGGTCTCGTCCTACACTAAGAGAAAAGTTTTTGGTACTTGTAACTATAATACATAGATACAGTAAAATAATATAATTATGGTTAGGAGTCTTTTATCCATTTTATGGTTGTTATTAATATAATATTGGTATAATAATAATTATATTTATAATTTTATCAAAAAAATGTATAACAACAAAAGTGTTATAAATTATTTGAATTATAGTAATTAAAATAATTTTTCTCTTAGTGTATGCATACACTTAGCATGAGATATTTTTGATATAATGATGGAATCAATTTTACCGTCTATGATCTTGTACCCTCTCTCTCTTTTATTCCCTCACGCTCCACTCTCTCATCCATTCTTTATCAAATTCTGTTACAAAATCCAAACCCATCTTTTTTTTATTTCCTCCCCACTGTACTTCCAAACTTTCAGGAATATCATTCTTGATCCCCTTCAATACTATCTCTTCTCTTCTTATCTCCTCTCTTCATCAGTTCTTTTATTTTTCTACCTAAATATTCTCCTATCCTCTATGTCGCTCTTAACACACCTTTTAAAATATTTCTTCTACTCTTCCATATTAATTTCCTTCTCTTTTTTTCCCTGTTCCTCACTTACCACAACTCCTTTTGCTATACTACTCACATTTGGCTTATATTTGAAGATATTACACTTAAATGATCACGAAATGATCGATTGTGCTCGGTTTCTGTTGTTAGATTGTATCGGCAGACTTTGCTGGTAGAATATAAGCTTATAATGCGGATGCAGTTGATACCAGTAAGTCGCAATATTCTACTTGAATTTACTGACAAACTGCTAGCTATTGCTGACATTTTGCTCTTACTGGATAATCTATATAAGACTATGCTTTTTTTCTTACGTTTAGAATTCCTCTTTTACGTCTGAGTTTATTCGAAACTCCCATTTCGTGTGAAAACGCTAAAACGTCTTTATACTCTCCTCTCGCGGTATGAATTTTAAGAGACGCCGCGACGTTTCGTGAAGCTATAAGTATAGATAATGTATACCTAAGATGCTGCGCGACATCACATTATAAAGCCATGACGTTATTGCTCGTCGGTTCGTACTTCAAAGAAAAAGAAAAAGATGAAGAACGGTTTAGACGATGCAATTCAGAAAACTTAGATGTCAAAATGTATATTAAATCTCGTAACTGAGATAAAGAAAATAATATTGTTTTATCTCGAATCGTCTACGCCGACTTTAGAGATTTTACTAATTTTATTTTAGAACTTAAAAAAAAATGAAAACCGGTGAATACAAACGAAAAAGAAAATTACTCGCGGCAAGCGTGTCGACAAATAAGCCAAACGCATATATGTAACGGTACCAAAAAGCATAATGCAATAATCTATTATATATATATAATATAATATACATAATATTTTAGTATTTTTATTAACAAAATATTATATATACCATGACAATAATAAGAAAACTAATTAATGTACAAATTTGTTAGCTACGTCCGTATGAGGAGCGCGATATCCATTCGCAAAAATATACGAAATATACTAGATTCGACGATCGAAATGAATAGAAAAGAAAAGTTTTTAAACAATTAATCTCCACGAAGCACGTGCCAAATGTCTCGATAAATAATTTCCAAAACTCAGGTTCCAACGATAATTTGAATATAAGAATGGAGATCGCGCATAGTGTAACGAGTACTCGTTCTACACGAGTAAAGATGGATATAATTGAGTTTACCAAATCAAATATGTCTGGGGTACAGCTGTTAATTGAGCTTAACATTAAGGAATTTTGTCGATTGTAAAGACGGAGATTAGAATCTCATGTTCCACTTCCTTACAATGAATAACTTTACTCGAAGAAAGCAGGCTATATTATTATATATTATTATTCTATTATTATTATATGTATAGAACGCGAAAGAAACAGAAAGAGAAAGAGCGAAATAGGCGAGTTTGGATTTAAGGGCCATGCGGGTCGGTGATCGATGTCATGCGAGAAGGTCTTTTCTTTTTTTATACTATTGTACTTACATGGTGGCAAGTTGATGATGCGTTATTCCTGTAATGTCTAACGTGATAATTGTTCGAGACGATGAGAAATACGTAGTACGTCGTGAAATGCGTTACACATTCCGCGAGGATCCGTTTCTCAGGGCCTCTTCCATTTTATTTATCACTTTTTCCTCTTGCAACGAATAAGCACTGTGTGGCACCTTTCATCAGAATTAATCCTGACCTCGCTTTTGCCAGCAGAAACAATCTCTCAAAACGCGCGACGCGTGCAGAGAGATTATAGTAGTTTGGAAATTAGATTTTGATGTGACATGTATAACATAGAAATCCAAAAGAATGTATGCAAAAGACGTCAAAAGGATGTCCGAAATGTTCAGAGTGTCCTTTCGTCTTTTGTATATATTTACGTTTTTATGGAAAGGTGCGACGCAAAGAAATACGAAACGTGCACCGAAACCTCGCAATAATCTCTTCACCGAAATCCGAGGCCCGAAAATAACCGTAACACCTAAGTATGATATTAAATGCTTCCAATATTGTACGATTAAAATTATTATATTACGACGTTTATATGATTTTATTCGTTCGAACGCGTAGAGAGATAAGGACGTATATTATATATATATACTCTACAGATTGATAATACTCGAGAATGTATTTTATAACAGTTTATGCGTCTTTTTATTTACACGAGTACTACAAGTGATAAGTGATATTGTTATTGATAAAAAAAGAAAATAACGAGAAGAAAGATGAGATACAGATATTACCGTATTATTGAAATTTTGTGCCAGTGTGTGCGTGCGTGCGTGTGCGTGCGTGCGTGCGTGCGTGTGTGCGTGCGTGTGTGCGTGTGTGCGTGCGTGCGTGTGTGTGTGTGTGTGTGTGCGGCATACGGCAAACCGGTACGTCACGGTTGTACTTCCTCGACGTTTCGTGCGTGTAGAAGCTTCGGTTATCCGCGATAGGCATCGTGTTTACCACTATCACTATGCGAAAAAAGAAAAGGAAAGAAAGATAAAAAAATGTGCAAATATAATGCTTATAATACTCATTTATTATAGTGTTAACAATTAAGAAATATATTTTTATATAATTATAATGTAATATTATATACGCGGATACGCGTGACATAGTACACTAATCGATCGAGCAACGGATAATTCCGGCTGCAACGGATCTCTTCCTTACATCCGATACAGGCGCGTAGAATTGTATTTTCTCCCTATCGATGCGGACCGTTCTCATTCGTTCCCATTTTATAATCTGCAATCGCGACGAATGATTCTCAATCGCATTTCATTTAGTTTCAAGCGACAAGTCGTTCCTAACTGTATCCACTCGTTAGCAACTTTTTCTGTTTCTCTTTTTGTAATTTTTTAATTGTAAGCTTTACTTTTTCCAGAAAGAAAAAGAAAGAGAGAAAGAATTTTTTGTCTGTAATTTCTCTTAGATTAAATATTCAATGAATATTTAGTCTATTTTGTATTTGCACTAAGAATTAAAAGTGATATAATTTCGATGAGTTCAACAAAGAGTTTTGAGCTCAACGAAGCTGTGTCGCTTCCCTAATTAATGTCTTGACTTATTAAATAACTTCACGACCAACAATGGATTAGGACATCAGGATGGAAAGGCAGAAAAACTTACGAAGACAATATTATATACGTATAGATAATATATATATATATATATATAAAGTATATATTATATATTTCCTCTAATTCTCGGGAGCTTTTGCGACCCGCTTGCCTCAATATAATGTACGTACTACTAAATAACGAAACGAAAAAAAAGTTAAAGCGTAATATAAATCGCGCCAGCTTTTGTGCATCGACATTATCTCCCAATAACGAACAATAATGAGATAAAAAAAAAGTGACAACAGCGAAGATAATAATAACTAGAAATGAAAATAATAAGCGGGGAAAGGAAAAAAATGAAAGCGATGAAAATTGTTATGATTGTTGAAGCAACGATTTAATAAGCACCATACGATGCCTTCCGTGAACGACCGAGCTTGCCTAGTTGCCAAGATAAACGAAAAATTACATAAATGTTAGCGCGACATTGTCGTCGAGAGCCGAGAGTCACCTTCACGATCCTCCTTGATTGAATTACACGTGCCAACCTCGGTTATTTTTGTTCTTTAAATCGGCAATCGTAATAGATAAAATTCGTGACAAGTGTAATAAAAGACAGCGAAAAATACCGCTCTCCTATCCCTTCCTCATCCTCTATGAAGCAAATCGTCGAATCGATTATGTGCAAGGAGTATCGCGAAGCGCACGGATTTTCAGACTTATTGTACTCAATGAATACTACATGGTCACGCCATTGAGCTTTTCATTGACTTATTATATTATATGAATACCAAAAATGTGAATTGTATATATACTATATATATATATGAATACTCGAAAACAAAAAATACCGCAGACAATAATGTACCGTTTCTTTTTAGAAATTAGACGGCGTAAGCGCATACTATACTATAGTATATATAAATATATTATATAAATATTGTAGACGTAAAAAGATAAATTTACTATATAAATTGCGTATATATATATATATATATATTATATACACAATTGTGTATATACTATATATTAGATATATATATATATACATACAATTACATTTAATTGACAAGAATAGCGATGTGGATATTATTGTAATAAGACGCAGTGTGAACGTATTCGTACGAGAGAAAAAGGAGAGAAAGGGACAACCTGAAGGCTTTTTTTTGACGATGTAGTGCCCGTTGCGCAAGCGCTCCGAGCGATATAATTTTATAATTAATTCGTAATGTAAATCTTTAAGACCCGCCGCGCATCAAAATTCCGCAAAATTTAACGTAATATTTCTCAGATAAATTTTCACTTATCTGGGAAACAGATTTATCTATAAAACACGTATCAAAGATCTCTCCTATCTTTGAATATTTTATCATAGATCGGGAAATTGTAAATTAATATAGAATCACATGTAACTATTATTTGCACGCAGCGAAGTAAATTTATGCCACAATTATAAGAAGAAAATCAGTTATACAACGATATAAAATATAATTACTGGTAGGATATACATATATATATAAATTATTCTCAAAAATTATTTTGAGGAATTATTTTAGCTTTATATTTTTTATAATAAATCAAGTTAATATACTCTTAACATTTATGTATTTTATCTTTAAATTTATAATAGGATAAACAGCGCAAAATTGAATCAAGAATTTAATGAAACAATATTCGAAGCGAGAAATTTTTTGTTTTTTTTCATGATTAATAAATATTTTTATTGTTATATAAGAGGGACTAAAGTTACTATTGTATTAATCTAATAAAGAAAGACGGTCCTTATTCGATCGTCGGCAATGGGCATTCGAGATAGTTATGTAGTCACAAATTAATATAAATAAATTAATTAAATTAATATAAATAAATTAATAATATATATCGACACGAGGAGATTCTTGCGCTGCGCTCACTATGTCGTTAACTTACGCGGCACTAACAATTCAAATGGGCCGAAACCGCCGTAAGGCCCATGGGACGACGGTGGGGAAAGAGAGGAAATAAAGAAAAAAAATAATTGTATTGTGACACGAAGTTCCATCCATAATAAATAAATGAAAATATTATACAGTTAGGCCGACTTTTCCGCCAGTTCGTGCCTTTATTCTGCATGAGAGAGAGAGAGAGAGAGAGAGAGAGAGAGAGAGAGAGAGAGAGAGAGAGAGAGAAAGAGAGCGAGAGAGAATGCAATTTTGGAATTCGATAATCTAATAATAATGTGCTACAATGTAATCGCGCGATAATAAGAGAGCGAGAGAGAGAGAGAGAGAGAGAGAGAGAGAGAGAGTGTGAGAAAAGCGCGAAAGAGTAAACTAGCCAGTTTAAAGAATAAAGATAAGAAAAGTAAAATGATAGGAAAATTGGAAAACGAGGAAATAGTGAGAGAAATTGGAAGCGTGAAAACTGATGCGCAGGAAAAATGATCAAGAAGAAATTACACACTATAAACGCAAGAAAGAGCAAAAAGACACCGGATTATTGCATAATATATATTTTCGGAGAACGCTGTGACATCCGTAATAATTCTTTCGATTAAAAAAAGAACGTAATAAAAAAGCGAAAAATTCAATAAATGAAGAAAGAGGAAAAATGTGCGCGCAAATCACACGTGTTCAGTGGCACGTGCGAGAGCAAAAAAAGAAAAGAGAAATAGAGCGAGGGAGAGAGTGTGAGGTGGAGAGAAAACTATAGCAATTGTTGAACATTCGTTAAATTGTCCTCGTTTCACGATGTAATAAAGGCTATTTTACTTTGATGCCCCGCTGTTATGTTTTTTGTGTGATCGATTACCCTGGGAGGGAAACTCGGGACGCGCAATTACATACTTTTTATATATACGAGGGTCGTCTGAAAAGTTTTGAGCCTAACATAGAAACAAGTAATTTTTCGATCAAGTTCAATTTTATTTTTCCACATAGTCTCCTTTCAAGTCGATATATTTTTTCCAGCGATGCTCCCACCCCTTTACTCCATTCAAATAATACTGAGCAAAATAGGCGTCTACGGATGCGATGACCTCCTCGTTCGATGAAAATTTCTGTCCTCCGAGCCAAACTTTGAGCCAAGGAAACAGAAAAAAGTCGCTGGGGGCCAGATCTGGTGAATACGGTGGATGGTCAATTAATTCGAACCGCAATTCGTGAATTTTTGCCATAGCGACCGCCGAAGTGTGAGACGGCGCGTTATCTTGATGGAACAGCACTTTCTTCTTTTTCAAATGCGGTCGTTTTTTCTCAATTTCTGCCTTCAGCTTGTCAAGCAATGATGCGAAGTACGTCCCTGTTATTGTTTTACCTTTTTCAAGATAGTCGATCAACACAATTCCATGACTGTCTCAAAAAACAGTCGCCATCGCCTTTCCAGCCGATAAAACCGTCTTCGCTTTCTTCGGAGCAGGTTCACCCTTCACAGTCCACTGTTTTGATTGTTCTTTCGTTTCAAGAGTGAAGTGGTGGATCCAAGTTTCATCAACCGTTATTAATCGACGCAAAAAATCCGACTCGTTTCGCTTTTTGGAAATTACTCCAATAGGGCCTTAGAAATGTTCATTCGAATGCGTTTTTGATCCAGAGTGAGCAAGCGCGGCACCCAACGCGCGGTTAACTTACGCGTGCCTAATTCTTCAGTCAATATATGACAAACACGTTCCTTTGATATGCCAACAGCCTCTGCTATCTCCCTAATCTTAATTCGACGGTTGTCCATTATCATTTGATGAATTTCTTCGATGTTATCGGTAGTGGTCGCAGTTGTTGGTCGTCCCGAACGCTCATCATCAGCTCAGCTGGTACGACCACGTTTAAATTCAGCTCAGGGAATGGAAGTAACTCGTTACTTGTAACGAAGTTACAGTTACAAGTTACTTTTTTGGTAACTTTACTAGTAACTGCGTTACTTTTTTTCTTTGGTAACTGTAACGGTAACGAAGTTACATTTCTTTGATAACGGTAACGAATTTTACAGTTACTTTTATCGTTACTTTGCACATGATTGGACACGATAC